AAAAATTCAGATTTCCCAATCTTTACAGATAAAGGAAAATCCCTTGATTAAGGTGTTGGTTTTAGAATTTGAAAATCTCCAAAGCCTTTGAGATAGTCACAGTTATTTCTTTGTTTAATACCAGACTGGAGCTGAATGCCATTAAAACTTTAGTATTTTAGTTTTTTAGGTGATTTTTTTTTGTCTTTTTTTTTTTGAGACAGGGTCTCCCTATGGCCCCAGCTGTCCTAGAACTCACTGTGTAGACCAGGCTGGCCTTGAACGCACAGAGATCCGCCTGCCTCTGCCTCCCAAGTGCTGGGATTAAAGGTGTGCATCACCAAGCCCGCCTACATTTTTTTTTATCTTTTTAATTTTATTATTTTTATGTGTATGCATGTATTGCCTGCATGTACGTAAATGCACCCATGTAGTGCAGTGACCTCGGAGGTCAGAAGAGGCTGTTGGATCCCCTGGGATTGGAGTTATGGACAGTTATTAGCTGCCTTGTGGGTGCTGGGATTCGAACCTGGGTCTTCTGCAAGAACAACCAGTGTTCTTAACCACTGAGCCATCTCTCCAGCCCCTCCATTTCTTTTTTTTTTTTAATCTTATTTTATGTGTACGAGTGTTTTGCCTGCATGTATGTAAGTCCATCCATTCATACAATGCCCACAGAGACCAGAAGAGGGCATCCCCTGGAACTGGAATTACAGGTGGCTGTTAGCCACCATGTGGGTGCTGGGAACTCAAACTGGGTCTTCTGCAAAAGTGTCCAGTGCTCTTAACCTGAGTCATTGCTTCAGCCCCAATTTTTATATTATTTTAGTAGTCATGTTTGATAATACAACTTTAGTGGAAAGAACCAGGATATGAATACAATCATAAAAGAAATAGGGTTAGAAAGATGGCTCGGCAGTTAAAGCACTTGATGCACAAGCCAGAGGTCCATATTTCAGACCAGTACAACCTACATAAAAGGTAGATATAGCTGCCTGCCTGTAATTAGAGCCACAGAAGGCAGAGACAAAAGATCCTCAGAAAGCCAGCTAGCTAGGCTAGCTCTGGGTTTGAGAGACTCTGCCTCAAATAATATGGTAGAAGAGCAATTGAGAGATTCCTGACATCAACCTCAAGCCTCCACACACACCAGCATGCATGTACACATGTGTACACACACACACACACACACATACGCACACACGGAAAGAAGATAAATCCATAAATAAATAAATTGTTCTTGGTGTTCTACAGGTAGTAAAGGATTTGAACCAGGATCTTCAAATGTCTAAGCCTACTTCTTAGCACCAAAATTATCATTTAAGAGTCACCAGTACCCTGGAGTCTCTGGGTACCATTTTTTAAGTCAATATTCATGATAATTCTAAAATTAGAAGAAAATTGAAATTATTATTGTGAATAGCACAGAAGCCTATCTTGGAGCAATCCTATCTCCTGGTCTAAAGACTAATTGTAGGTATGTTTTAGAGACTCTGTGAGTTGTTATCACATCAGCCTTAGGAGACTGTCATGTCAAGGAGCCCCAAAGAAGCTCCACATTGGTCTGTTTTCTCTCATTAGAATATGTGAGAAAGTCTGGCACAGTGGCATATGCTTACAGTGCCAGCTACTTGGAGGCTGAGGTAAAATGATTACTTGAGCCCAAGAGTTCAGGGCTAGACTAGGCAACATAACAAGACCTTATCTCTTCAAAGAAAAAAAAAGAAAACATGAGAAAACCCACTTTTTGTCTTGCTGATGAGGTGCCAAACACAGACCAGTGTAGTTTTGAGATTATGGGGTACCAAGGGCAGGAAACTCATGAGCCACTCTACAAACAAGCCCAGCTATCTTCCCTGGCCAGAGTAGCAGCTCCTCAGGGGACGTTTTTCCCCATAGTCCATTTGGAACAGAGCTCCATTTCTCCCAGGAAAGCTGTGGTGAGTGACAGCTTTGGAACCATGGGGTCGTGCACATGACTGTATATGCCATAGGAGCCTTCAGTCTGCTATAATGTGTCCTTTTCTTTCTAGTGGGAAAAACAGAATATATGATGTCCTCCATGAGACAATTGAAAATGATTTCCCAACTTTCCTGGGCAAGATCTTTGCATTCCTTGCCAATCCAGGCCTGATCATTCCAGCCATCCTACTGATGTTGTAAGTTCACCAGGGCCCCTGGCTTCACCTCATAGGAACTTCTCTTAGTAGTTGAGGCTTTCTGGACAGGGCCCTCTATTTCACCCTCTTAGTCTGGCTTTCCCAGAAGACTTTAAGACAAAAGTTTCAAATGCAAGTTAGTTTATCAGGGAGTATGTAAAAATTAAAACAAGGAAGGGAACATGAAGGACATAGTTACCTCTGCTATGAATGACTCTTACTTTGATCTTGCTGAAAAAACTAAAGAAATAATGTGCCTCAGAGTTACACCTCTAAGACTAAGGGGGTCTGGGGCATTTGCAACCTACCAAGCTAATTGTAAATATCAAAGTTCTCTGGGCTCTGAGTCTCAGAAACCTGAGACTGTATTGTGACTTGGATATGAGGTATCTCCTACAGGAGCAGTGTTGAAGGCTTGGGCCCCAGTTGGTGGCACTATCTTTAGAGGTTCTGGAGACATGAACAAACATTTACTCACCCAAGACAAAGAATGGATGAAAAATCAAAGTAAGGATACCACCAAAGTCCAACTTGGTGAACCAATGAGTTTTTTGGGTTTACTTATAGGAGTATGGCATGGGAATTAAACTGAGACTGGCCTTGTACAGTGAGAAGACCTCAACCACACTCAGAAAGTGGAAGAGGTTTATCCTTTATTACATGCAGGCCCCAGTCTGAGCTGCTGATTCAGAGAAATTGAGGTACAGATCACCAGTTTTTATAGGACTTTTCACATCATCCCTTGGCAGTAATCATATTGGTGGATTTGAAACCTCCAGCACAGATGTATATGTGCCCCTTAGGCTAGTATAGAAAATTTAAACAACATTTTTACAAAAAGCAGATAGTGGGGGCTGGAGAGACAGCTCAGCAGTTGAGAGCACTAGCTGTTTTTGCAGAGGACCTGAGCTCAGGTCCCAACACCCACATAGCAGCTAACAACCATCCATAATTCCAGTTCCAGGGGATCTGATGCCCTCTTCCAACTTCCACAGGCATTGCACAACATGGGTGTACCACCTACATGCAGGCATTACACTCATACACATAAAATTTAAAAAAATAAAATATTTTTTAAAACATATTTGGGGACTCTGGAAATGGCTCAGTCAGTAAAGTGCTGGCATGTAAGTATGAGAACTGAGTTTGATCCTCAGACCCATGTAAAAAGAGCTAGGCATAATAGCAGGAACATATAATCCCAGTGCTGGGAGGGAAGTAAGGCAGATCCTGGGGCTTCCTGGAGCCTGCTTAGTCTACTTGGTGATCTCCAGGCCAGCGAGATACCCTGCCTCACAAAAACCAAATAAATAAAAAAGGAAAAGGTGGACAGTGTCTGAAGAACAGTACCAGAGGATGTCTCCTGGTCTCCACATGCACGTGTACAGATGTTCTGTACACACAAACATGCATACAGAAATATAACACAAAAATTTACATGGGGCCTGGAGTCATAGCTTAGTATGCATGAGGCCTGAGCTCAATCTGAACACTAAAAAAAATAAGTAAAAAAAAGATCAAATCTTCCACATATTTGGCATCTTTGCAAAATATTTTAACATGCAAATATTACAGACAACCACAATCATAAAACTAAGCACAAGTTAGCATTTTTCAATATTTAGGTCTATATTTCTCTTTTAATATTTTATTTTCATTTTTATGTGTGAGTGTATTGTCTGCATGTAAGTGCACCCATGTTGTGCAATGCCCATGAAGAAGAGGGTGTTGGATTCCCTGGAACTGGATTTACAGATGGTTGTTAGCTGCTGTGTGGGTGCTGGATCCTCTGCAAGAGCAGTCAGTGCTCTTAACCACTGAGCCATCTCTCCAGGCCCTACATTTATTTTTAACAGTTATAGATTTCACAGTCACTCTTTTGTAACTAAACCCCCACCCTATGCTCTGTTAGCAAGCCCAATAAACTCATTAGGATTTAAAAAAATAATGGAGCTAATGGAAACCTTCATTATTCCACCAAAGTTGACCCCATGTTGCCAAATCCTTTCATCTTTGATTTCTTATTCCTGGTCTAACCTGCTTCAAGTTATTTCTGGGAAAAATGTGTTAAAAAATGTCCCTCTTTGGAATAATAAAAATAATAATAATAAATAATAGTTACAGATTTCAAGATCCACCCAGCCCTTCTTTCTTTCACCCTTTCCAAAGGTAACAACTATTCAGATTAGTTTTGATTATTTCCATACATATTCTGTGTTAATTAAGCCTTTCATAAGTAGCTGCCATTACTACCTTTCCTCACTCAGCATTATGTGAGAAATTTAGCCATATGAATTCAGGAGCACAATTTAATAGCTGTGCTCCATTAAATGGCTGCTCTACACTAAGTTTTCTCCACCTCTCTGCTATTACAAACTGTACTCGAACTAATGCCACACATCTCCTTGTGCAGCTATTTCTCTAAAGTAGATCTCTAGAAATAGAATTGCTTAGGTTTGTGTCTCATCAGTCTTTTTAGATACCACAGAACTGTTCCACAAATTGTGGCATTTCCTTTGACTTTTTTCAACATAAGCGCCAACTGTCTGGGGAAATTCTCAATCTTTATCTCTATTTTCTTGAATATAGTAATCATAGTTATTGCTCTTAATCTGTCTGATTTTCTGATATCTGTATCACCTGTAGGCATATTCCCTTTTCCTCCTCTTCCTCCTCCTCCTCCTCCTCTTCTTCTTCTTCTTCTTGTCTTTTTGAGACAGGGTCTCCCTGTAGCCCCAGCTGTCCTGGAACTCACCATGTAGACCAGGCTGGCCTTGAACTCACAGAGATCCGCCTGCCTCTGAGTGCTGGGATTAAAGGCGTGCGCCACCACACCCCGCCCTTTTTTGGTCTTTTTTGAGACAGGGTCTCCTTGTGTAGCCCCAGCTGGCCTGGAACTCCAAAAAAATAAAAATAAAAACAAAACAAAGCAAACAACAACAACAAAAAAAAACCTATAGAGATGGATATTATCTCTCTCCAAAAGAGGTAGGCTTTTTTTCTGAAAGACAATCAGAATACTAGCAGATCAATTCATCCTGTCAGGTGGGGTTTCAGCTACCTATTACTAGGGGAAAAAAAACCACCACCAAACTGAGAGCACATAATTTATTAATGAATTAGCAATTCAGGTGGGATGGTTCTTCTCTGTTCAGCATTTTCAAGTGCAGCTCAAGTGGCAGGGGAGGAGGCGGGTTCACTTTCAAGAGAGCCCCTCATGTGACTGACCAAATAATGCTGGCTTCAGCTGGGAGCTCTTCAAGGCTATGGACTTGAGTCTTCAGTTCCTGTCCACAAGCTGTTTGGGCTTTCTCACAGCATAGTGGCTGGGTTCCAAAGACAAGCATGCCAGGAGCACACAGTGGATGTCTGTGGTGTTTAGATGACCTCGCCTCCATTGCTCTGCTCTGTTGAGACAGTCACAAAGACCCACCCAGGTTCAAGAGAAAAGGATACAGACTCCATCATGTGGTGAAGGGATGATAAGATTCTACACACATGTAAGCTGGGATGGCCATCTTTGGTTTGCTGTTGTCAGCAGCAGGCTTTCATAGGACTCATTTCCACAATGCCTTATTTCTAGGCACTGACCTTACTCTGGGAATGTAATCTTTACTTTAAGCATGTTCTTTCAGGGCTTGCAACAATTACACAAGATATGCCAGATGTTCATTGGAACACAATCTGCAATATCAAAAATGTGGAAATCTGGGGCTGGAGAGATGGCTCAGCGGTTAAGAGCACCGGCTGCTCTTGCAGGGGACTGGGGTTTGATTTCCCGCACCCACATGGCAGCAAACAACCGTCCCTAACTCCAGTTCCAGGGGTTCCGGCAACCTTTTTTAACCTTTGCAAGCATTGCATGACATGGGTGCACCTACCTACATGCAGGCAACACACTCATATCCATAAAAAAATAATAATAATATTTTTTTTAATGTGGAAATCTTAGGGTGTTTGTTTCCCTCTGCCATGGCAGGGCACCCTCACTTTTCCCAGTTCTGCTGCTTTTTCTCCATCCCACTGACTACAGCTGTTGAAGTCTCTACCAAGGCCTCCAGCCTCCCTGGTGCCCTTTTCTTCTGGGCTTATTTAGTGCTTAAAGGGCTGGTGTCCTGAGCACATTATGGCAGAAACATAGATGAATATGCTTGTGTCTTTCCAGAATGTCAGAACCCTTTTATTTGCTCATCCAGTCTTTCAGCTCTGTGCCCTGGTCACTGCCCTAATCAACAGCACACACTTGTGTGTCATTTTGCACCCTTGCTTTCTAATACCCTCTGCTTCTAGTCCTGGCATAAGAGGGATGCCATGATAGTGATAACCTGTGGCCCCTGAGTAAACTATAGAACTTAGACCTCAACCTGACCTTTGTAGGCAGCAAGAAGAATGACTAAAACAAGCTCTAGAAACAAGCTCAGGAGGAACACAGTTAGCCTTTGAGCATTTTATCTAGTACTTGGCTGGATGTGCGATCTTAAGCAGGACTACCTCTGTTTCCTCTCTAATAAATGAGTTAATTCAGAAAGATGGAGAGAGCTGGCATAGAGTAAAGAGCCTTGAAAATATATATCTGTCCTTCATCTGACATCCCTTCTCCCCTCCCTCATCCCCATGGCAGTTTCAGACCCAAGGACCATGTGGTGCTTCTTCCCTGGCTGAAGAGACCCCTGCTGGAGTGACAACGGATAGCCCAACTCTGAAGGGAAAGGGTCCAAGGACCAAAGCTGGAGCTTCTGAGGCTCAGATTCATGGCTAACAAGGGTGGACTAAAAAACCCACAGGCAACAAGTGGCAGAACATCCAACCTGGGTGGTGCTCTGACTTAATGCATCCTCCTTCCCTTCCCAAATAGTACAATCCAGGATATAGCCCCAGATCATAGATTCTACAGAAGGGACTCTGGAGGCAGCCTCAAAGGACACCAATCCAGATATCCAATGGCCCCTGGGCAAGGGATTTTCAGGCCATTTGGCTTGTTATGCTTTAGACAAACTTGGTTCAAGTCACATATAGGCTCCAAGAAGTACTAAAGGGTGAGATGACTTTCAGCAACATATTTAACCTGTTTGAATCCCTGGGTGTGGTGTGAAAGCATGAAAGTCATCTTTCCTACTGTTATAGGAGGGGTCTCAAGGTGTCCTATGATAGGATGTCCAGGTTCTTTGTGTCTTTAGCAAAAAAGTGAACAAGACACAAGTTACTAGGAAACTAGGGTTCCGTTTTGCAAGTTCCTTTTTTTTTTTAATGTGTATGAGTTTTTTTACCTGCATGTATATAAGTGTGCCATATGCATGCAATGCCCAGAGGCCAGAAGAGAGCATTGGATCCCCTAGAACTGGAGTTATAGCACTTGTTGGCCACCATATAGGTGCAGGAAACCCAACCTGGGTCCTCTGCAAGAGCAGCAAGTGCTTTTAACCACTGAGTCATCTCTCCAGCCCCACCTTCTGCAAGTTCTTAATTTCACTGATAAAAGATTTTTAAAGCAGAATCAGAAGGAAACTTGAACACAATTTTCATTAGAGTTTGAGAGAAAACCCACAGGGCAAAAAGCTATGAATCCTGTTAGTTGCCAGAAGGAGGGAAGTAGAAAAGAGGAAAAGAGAAAACCATGCTTTTTGAGTTAGGTCAGCAATGGAAGTCTGCAGAAAGCTGTAGGAAGCAGGGTGAGGAGTAGAAGGGTATCTTCAGAAAATAATAGTAAGGAAACCCAGAGTGTCTGGGCAAGCATGGTTAGGGTTTAGGTTGATATCCAAAGAAGAGGCAGAAAGCAAAAAAGAAGCTATGCTTCTGAATTAGATAGAACTCAGAAAAGTAGTAAGACATAACAGTTAAGACCTGTAAGGGAGGGAATGGGTAAGTACATTACCTCAGTAAGGGGACAATTATTCTTCCCATCTCCTTAGCATGTCTTGAGCTGAAGCAACTTTCCTGAGAAGTGGTCTCCAGGCCAAGAGATGGACAAGCCCAGTTAGATTAGCTCTTAAGGGAGGGAACAATAAAATGAATGCTTTAATCTTTGGGCAGATTTAAATGCCAAGTCTCTACTCAGGGCCAGAGGTACAACTCAGATTCCATTTTTTTTTAAACCAGGAGGATGTCTCTTTCCCGATAGACCAAAGTTGATCATGAGGGAGGGGTCCATCCTCAATGGCCTACACCCCTTCTAATGTTTACCTAGATGCCCAACACTACTTCATTATGTTTCATCAAAACCAGTGAGATGGGCACCAGGCGTGGTGGTGCACGACCTTAATCCTAGCACTCGGGAGGGAGAGGCAGGCAGATCTCTGGGAGTTCAAGGCCAGCTTGGTCTACATAGTGAATTCCAGGCCAGCTGGGGCTACAGAGAGACTCTATCTCAAAAAGACCAAAAAAACAAAAACTACAAAGACAGGGTAACAGAGGCACAGAGCCTGACACTGATCGTGTCCAGGAAACATTACCAACTTCTGCAGACAAGAAACCCTGCTACTCTCTACCTCCTTAGAATCTGGGTAATTCTTTTTACCATCTTTTACTTACTAGATATGTGCAAGTTATGCCAACACTCAATATAATAGAGATAAACCAAGAGTGTCCAGGACCCTCTCCTGTTGATCAGATAACTTGGGATAGTAGGACCAGCTCTATCCTTCCAGAGACAAAGCCTTGGTTCCTGTTCCAGAGATCCCAGGAAAAGCACTCAGCTCTTGTCATTTTCTAAGATCCCAAGACAATAGGAGATATGTTTTTCTTTTTTAGCCTGGCCATCTACTATCTGAACTCTGTTTCAAAAAGTCTTTCCAGAGCTAATGCCCAGCTGCGAAAGAAAATTCAAGTGGTGAGTCTCTCAGGAGCTTCATCCTGAAAAGCAATCTTGTTTCTTGCTAATTTACTCTGTGATCAGAGTTGGATTATTTCAATAGCTCTCTTCTAAACTTAATGCACAAGTGCTTGCATTATAAGAAGCAGCCCTGTAAGATTCGATATCATGAATTTATAGTATGTAGATATTTGAGAGGCTGATGGTACAACTTAGTGGTAGAGCAAGTACTTAGCAGTCACAGCGTTCTGGAGTTGATCACTGGCATAAGCATGTGCGTACATGCACACACACAAACTACCTTTATAGGATAAATACTAAAAATAAATTGCTGTGCTCCTTGGCCTAAGAGGTCTCCTCAATTTTCCTGAGACATGGGCAGCTTCTCTCAACAGCCCAGCCCAGCTGATACCCTCATTTCTGACTGCTCTCTCTGAACACATACACCCAAAGGACAGATTCTAATAATCTATAGGCCCTGTCTTCCTTCCTCCCTGTCACTTTTCTGGAACTAACTTTATCTATCTTGCTGCCATTTCTCTATCCACAATTCCTTCTGTTAACCTTACTGGGATCCTGCCCAGATACCTAAAACCACTGAAATGTGGGATTAGAAAGGGTAGATGTTTTTTTCAAGTGCTATGTGAACCTGAGAGTCACAGGTTACACTCTCCAAATAGTTGGAGAACCAATAATAGGCAGTTAAGCTTAGTCAGCAAGAACTGAAAACAGGGTCCTACCCCTACCTCTCACCATCCAGGCCTCTAAGCCTCAGACACTCATGTTCCTAGCTGGCACCACTGATTCATTTTTTTTTTTCCCTTGCAGCTGCACGAAGTTGAAAAGAACCACAAATCTGACAAAGAAAGAGCCACTGTCACAAATTCAGAGGCCACACCTAAAAGCAGCTCCAAAAATGTCTCCCAGCTACAACTTACTAAGGAAGGTAAATTTTTTCCATGCTGACCTTTTCCAAGTCTACATGGAAGGTGTAAAGAGCATATGATGTGGAATTGGACTGATCTGGGGTTGAAATCAGAGCGCTGATAAATATTTTGCAATATGAAGCAGTTACCTCATGGGATGGTGACAGTGAAAGGGGACCATGGGCGTAAAGTGCTTAACAGAACTCCTTGCACACAAATGAACTAACAAATACATGTTAGACACAGAAGTTTTTATTCTCTAAAGAAGTGACACACAAGATAGAAAAAAAGGGTGGGGAAAGGCTGCATAGAGGGTTCGCCCTAAAAGTTCACTTGAAGGACAGTTTACCAGAACCAGGATGAATCAGACCTCTATTCTTCATACCCAGATATATTAGGAATACCCTTGACTGTTGTTAGAGGCAGAGAAATGTATACTATTGTTCATAGAAGGTGTACATGTACAGGTGAGATCTGGGAGGGTTCTGAGGTTGCTAGGTACATTGTTTAGACACAGATGTCTGTGCATAGTATATAGAGGTAAAGGAGCTAGGCTGCCAAGTGTATAATTACAAGAGGGTGGGATGTGCATAACCCCCAAACCAAAGAGAGTCCCAGGCTACTAAACTATTCCCTATGTTTGCCTGCCTCAAAGGGGAACAAGACTCCTTCCATCCATGGTTCTGCCTACATCAAGTTTCTGGAAGAGGAGGGGCCTAGAAGACATAGTTGATAGTAGTACATATACATCTACAAAGGAACATAATCCAATTCTGTGTTCCATAAGAAGAGGAACTGGGCCCAGTGTGGTGGCACATGCCTTTAATCCCAACACTTGGGAGACAGAGGCAGGTAGATCTCTGTGAAATGGAGGCCAGCCTGTCTACATAGTGAGTTCCAGGCCAGCTGGGGCTACAGGGAGACCCTGTCTCAAAAACAAAAAGAGAAGGAGAAGGAGGAGGAAAAGGAGGAGGAGCAGGAGGAGGAGGAAGAGGAGGACCTGGTTTGGTAAGGAACCAGCCAATTAGGAGGAGGGGAAGAGGCAAGTAGGCAAGTGAAAGAACTGGAAATGGGGCTAATTTCAAAGAATGTGCATAGCCTCTTCCCTTCCATCATCAGATTTGACAGTGGACATCAGCCAAAAAGCTTGTTGCTATTGTCCCAATTTGATACTATAGAAAAACCTAAGATGGGCTGGATAGATGGCTCAGCGGTTAAGAACACGGACTGCTCTTGCAGAAGACCCAGGTTGGATTCCCAGCACCCACATGGCGGCTATGAACCGTCCTTAACTCCAGTTCCAGGGGAATCTGAAGCCCTCTTCTGACCCTCTGCAGCACTGCATGACATGGGTGCAATCACATACATGCAGACAATACACTCATACACATAAAATAAAAATAAAATATTTAAAAAAAAGAAAGCTGGGCGTAGTGGCACATGACTTTAATCCCAGCACTTGGGAGGCAGAGGCAAGTGGATCTTTGTGAGTTCAAGGCCAGCCTGGTCTACATAGTGAGCTCCAAGACAGGTGGGGATACAGGGAGACCCTGTCTCAAAAAAGACACCAAAAAAAAAAAAAAAAAAAAACCAAAAAAAAAAAAAAAAGAAAACCTAAGATAAAAGCTCTCCTAGTCAGGCATGGCAGCACATACCTTTAATCCCAGCGCTCAGGAGGTAGAGGAGGCAGATCTCCATGAGATCAAGCCCAACCTGATATACACAGCCAGTTCCAGGGTAGCTGTGGCTACAGGGAGACCCTGGCTCAAAAAGATGAAAAAAAAGCTCTACCAGGGGAACCTTAATTTCCCAGCCAGCAGATAATACTCTTCCTGTCCAAATGCAGGCCAAACCCCTGAGAAAAATCTTGAGAATCTACATATACAGCAGGGCAGGTCCAGAAAGTTCCAGTTCAAGATGGACAAAATCTCCTAGATCTTCTTTCTTGTCTTTGTTTCCCAGAGCCGGTATCTTACTCTCCCAGCCAAATCCAGACCCTGGACAAGACCTCACAGGGCCCTGGCACCTCTGCTGACAGCAGGGTCCTGCAGCCTGCCTCCTGGCACCTTGGATTTCAACCACCAAAAGTCAAACTGGATTCTGGCCAACCCCAGTCTCAGGCTCACACATGGAGGTCAGGTTCTGGAAAAAGTGCTCAGACGTCTCCCAACTGATAGCAGTCAGAAAGCTCTGGGCTTTCTCCCCAGGCCCTACTGCTTTATATATCCATTCCTTTTCCTCTCACAAATATGCATTTTCCCTCATCTCATGTACCAACTTTGATTCTTAGTCTCAAGCCCTTGCTGATAACCAAAAGGTCCTGGCTTGGGAATGGGAGAGGGCCCATACTGACTGTGCTTCTGAAGCTGAGTTAGAAAAATATAGGCAGTTAGGGAGGGCAGGGGCAGGCCCCCAGATGATGGCTGCTTCTTGTTCCAAGAAGACCCTAGGATTGGAAGAAGAGTCACAGGTGGGAAGGAGAAAACC